GAGCAATGTGTTAATTGCCAAATACGTGATTTATTAGCATAAGCTTCAAGTTTAGAAAAAATATATTGTTGAATAAGTTGACGTTGTTGAATTTCTTGTTCAGTTAAAGTTTTAGATGGTTGACTTGTTTCAGCATCACTGGATACATTCGTGCGTATATTCAGAAAATTTGAGACAGATTTGGTATGACGATGCAAACAGAGATGACGTAAATGCAAACGACATTTGTTTTTGTCTTTTAAGCAGAAAGAAGAATTATTTATTTAATAAATAAGAAATAATAAAATCATCACCTACTATTTCGTTTTTCTGAATGATAATGTGATTGTTCAGTAGACGACATTTGTAGAAATCAATATGTTTTTGTAATATTTATTTTTCCTGTTAAACAAACTAGCTAGTATTATTTGTCAATATAAATTATTCACGCTTAGAACAATATTAATAATAATAATAAATCATCAATATGATTCGACAAGGCTATACAAAACGTCCTTATTTTGTACATTTACTTTTTTTTCTGATACACAATCATCTTACCTATTGCTCGTACTTTGCATAGGCGTCAATGATGGCCATTTTTCGGTGTTAATATGATTTCTATTCATTTTTACTATCAACGGACCACATTTTTAGTTTGATTGATGAGCTATAAGAATAAAAAAAGCAGCTTCTAATGTAATATTCTTTTTCGTTATGAAAACCAATCAGCTATTATAGTACCTACAATTCATGTGAGCTATCAGGTATGACATCAAAAAATGTTTCTGAATCATTTAAAAATGGCGCAAAACATACACTTGAATTATTCACTAGGTGACAAAATGAGTAATCTTTGTCGGTACATATTTCTAAGTTATATATATAAATGTATAAGAAAAAAAAAGAAAAATGAGGAAAACATAATAGTAATATAATTCTCTAGCTTATCTCTTCCTTGGATTGCTAACTCGTGATGCTGAACAAAAACAGGAGAATTTTTTTTTAACAAAAACATATAAAAAGATAAATGTATATTAAATCTATTCAAAATCAATCAGTCTTATGGTCATCGCTTACAAAAATCATTTTTAATCTAATAAACTGATTATTTTCAAGATGTTTTACTATTCACAATCCAAATAGCAAATCATAATATCCACTTGATAAAATTGAATAAATCTAGCTTCATTTCAGGTAACTTCATCATATAAACAGTTGTTTGTGTATAATTTGTCACTAATAGAAAAATAAACTGAAGCTTAGACAGTAAATATCCAATGTTCGAACTAATAATCAAATTGTTGTCATTACGTTTGATTTCTAAATTGAATTATTAGTAAGAGAAAGTTAGGCTATCGATGTAAACTTCGAGTTAAGACAAAAATATATTGTTGAATTTCTTGTTCAATTTTATTTTTCTGAATAATATTGTAATTGTTTAGTAGACGATATTTGTAGAAATCAATTTTTTTAAAATATTTATTTTTTCTTTTTAAAAGTACACAAGCTAGAGTTCTATTGATCTGTATAAATTATACACATATGGCAAAAGGTTAATAATAACTATAAATCATCAGTATGATTCAATAGAGCTACAGATCATATCTTGATTTCACGCTTTTTTCGTTTTGGTTTTTTTTTTCTTTTATATACAAACACATTGCTTATTTTTTGTTATTTAGATAGCCTATATTGATAGACATCCCTTAGTATTAATATGATTTCTATGCTACTGTTACTATGAATTGACCTTGTGTTTTGCTTTATCAGCAAGCTACACAAGTAAATAAACGGCTTCAGATATTATTTTGTTTTTTTGCTCATGATAATGAATCATTCACTATTGCATCTACAATACATGTAAGCTATCAAGCATGAAATCAAAAAAAAAAAGCTTTCTTAATCCTTGATACGAATATGAAAGATATTTATTTGATATATTCAATAGATGATTAATTGAATAATCTTTATTATTACCTGTTTCAAAGTTATATATGCAAATATATTCAAGGAAAAAAGAGAAAACATGATACGGATAAAATTTTCTTTCTTATCAATTCCGTTGACTCGTGAATTGTCATAATGTGCCGTGTTTTTTTTTTATTGGAACTGAAAATTTTTACTATGTTTTTTTTTTGTTCTTGCAAGCACTGATCAAATTGACATTGAAATAAAATCTACATAACGCCTACATTTTACAGATGGAGATCGTATGTCGCAAAAAAAACGGATATGAGAATAATTCAATAGATTCATTCCCCCTTTTTTTTTTGCTTTATTCAACGTTCTCGATTGATAAACTCTGACAATGTATCAACAATATTCAAGAGTATACTATGCACAAGAACAACGTTTCAATGATAGATTTCCTTTATCAATTGTAGCTGTATTAGGTGTTATTCAAATGTTAACTACATTTAGTATTATCGGTCTTGAAATTGGACATATTGTAAATAATATTCGTTTAACAAATTTATTTGTTGGATTTTGGGCATCAATACCATTTACTATTTTATGGATTTCAATGTTTGCTGCTGGTATAGATTGAATATGAATTATAGATTTATCTTAGCATTTTCTATATTTTAGTATGTTGCTGTCGTCGACGAAGTTGTGCTACACATGCTCTTGTACAAAATTTTATTTCATTCATTTTTGCAATTGTTCTAATTGCACTTAATATTGTATTTATTCGACGACCAAATGATTGCTTTTTTACTAGAGATATATGTAACCGATTAACCTGGCTAAATGATGTAGATTTATCATGGAGTTGTATTTTTGATGATTATTCAGAGGGTTGTGGAAAAACTCGTTTAGCATTAATTAAAGCTCAGTTAGCTGCTGGTGTTATTATGGCAACTACATGCTTAATATATGTTATTTTATATGGTGTTGTTGTTTCACGAGCATCACGAGCTGGTCAACGTCAAATGCATGCAGCACCTGATGCTGTTATGGCTCCTGTTTATCAACAATCAGTACCACCGACAATGCTTTATGGACATCCACCTTATACAATTTCTTCTAATCCATATCAACCATCAGCACCTGCTATGATACCAAATTATCAACAAGTACCAACTCATATGGCACCTGGTATTACCAATATGAATTATTTACCACCAAATCAAGAATCGACAATATATCCAAAAATTCCAAATGATCGGTTTTAATCAAAGGAACTACTAATGATTATAATAAAATGAAATCCAAAAAAAAGAAAAGATATAATTTTTTTTTTGTTTTGTTCATCGATTAAGTTGATCAATCATTTTTTGAATTATTTTTTCATCGACAACACCTGTAAATCGACTTATCTCTCTGCCATTTTTAATAGCCACAACTAAAATAAAAAAAAAAACAGAAAGATAAATGTATTTAAAATGTGCTTAAGTTGTTTAACACTAATTTATTCAAGCTAATAAATTATTTAGTTATAAAAACCTATTTAACAATCGATACTAAAAGACTAATGATGCAAATTAATAAATAAATCAATAGATCAATGGTAGCAGTTATATTTAATAAGTTGTTTTTTGTATTCAAGTCGATGGCTAAGACATTTCGAAAATAGTTGCTATCTTTAGACGATCATTTGATGAATCAACTTATGTCCCTAGTGTTAACAGTAGACTTTGCTTACGGATATTTTTTTTATTCAAAATTCAAATATTAGTTGTTAGTATCCGCTTGAAAAAATTGACTAAATCTAGTTACATTTTAGATAAGGTCATCACAGAAATAGACATCTGTTTATGCTTTCTTACTAATGAGTAATGCAAAAATTCCTGCACAAATATCATCTCATGTATCATTGGTTGAAATATGTTCCCAAAAAGACTAAAAATACCTATGCATTTCTTTAAAGAACACTACAATGTAGTATGTAAAAAGTATACCACAATCAATGCAGTACAAAGAACACACTTTTAAGCAATATTGTACATTTCTTAGTACTAGGTTCGTAAAGAATGAGACGGCAAAAACTAATGAAGAAAAAAAGCAGCAATATACGAAGGAAGACATACGAGAGAATATCGACTTTTTCTATCACAATAAACATAAGTTCCTTTTTTTTTTCGAATTACAATTTAGTGCTATTTAAAGATGTATTCGAAACTCAAAAGTAAAATATAATAAAATATTATGATGAAAAAACGAAGCGAAAGTTTTTCAAGAATTTTTGCATTCCCCGTTAATGAAAAGATAAACTGAATCTTAAACATTAGATATTCTACATTTAAGAGAACATAAAACATAATATTATTTTCACAATAACACTCAATATTGACGATAGGATTCAATGATGACATTGATTAATAAACTGACTAATGAATAAAACTATTTCACATTTTTTTTTGTCGTTATGAAAAAAAAATTATCTAACAAAGTCATGACGATCAGTCTATGTAAACGTTCATTAGACTAGATGAAATTGAACTTTGAAACTGAGAAATGCGAATATGAGCATCTGGTAGAGTAATGTCGATAGCCTATCGAATATGTAGTTTTTCTTTATGCCACTTCATATATTGAAGAGCAAAACATGCTACTCTAAATATTGATCATAGAGATTCATAAAAGAATTTGAATAGTAACTTGAATAAAGAATATTGTTTTCAACAAGAATTTGAGAAGAAATAAAATCGTCACAGTATCATAAAAAAAAGGGCTCTAATATTACTCTTTTAGAGTCTATCCAAAGCAATAATTGACTCTTTTTTTTTTTTCTTATAAAAAATTCAGGAGATGTTATCTGAAGTTTTTAGTTTTAACCGGCTTTATTTTGCTTGGGATATACGAAAATATAGAATGATAAACAAAACGTAAATTCTTCACAATTAAACATGTCGACGACTTACCCGTTGGTACCACTTGAACATCATATTTACTACTTAATTCTCCCAAATTATCTATATCAACTTTAGCCAATTTGATTTGTTGATCAGAAGATGTATTTTGTACTTTTTTATTGTGATTATTAAGAACTTTCTCAAGACGAGGTTCTATTGAATTGATCATATAAAATACAAACGATAAAATAAAACAAAAATATATTACCTAAGATTTTACATGGTCCACACCTAAACAAATATTCTTCAAATTTTATATTGTAATTTTTTATAGATTTTCTTTTTACCAAGCTGCATGAAAATCCACAATGAATGGTTTTTTACTATCAAGAACTTCTTTTTGAAAATCTCCATCATCTTTAACATGAAATACATCAGCAGATAAACGTAAAACTGATGTTTGAAAATGTCGACGACTATTTATCATTAATAATGTTTGTACATTACGTACTGTTGTTTGTATACAACGAGCAGACATTCTTCTTCAATCTGAAAATATAAAAATAAATCTTTTGGAAAAATTTAAAACCATTTATTCTTGTTTATAAATAGAAATAAAAAAAAACTTCACTGGATAAAATATTTTAAAAATAGACGAATACAAAAAAAAAAACGATTGATTAATAAATATATCACAATAGTTTCTTTGCTTTGTTTTTTTTTTCTTATCATAAAAATATGAAAAAAAAGAATCACATATAAATGAATGAAAGAAAACATTGACAAATTAAATTTTAAGAAAAAGAATATCAAGATTTATAAATGTAAAAAAATAGATAAATAAATAAATATATTTTACATTGGATTAATTAATCGATTTGAAAATGGAAGACGAATCGAGGTTGACGGTTGCTGACTCATAGAAGGAACAGATGACCTATGGTCATTGAAATGATTAATTCTATATTACAAAAGAAAAAAAAAAATAATTATAAGAATTTCATAAAGAAAAACAAAAGAGAACATACTTAGTTGTATCATTAGCGACAAGTGTAAATGAAGTGTTAAGCTAAAACGATAAAATATTTTTTCTATGATAAATAAAGTGGAAAAAAAATACTTCATTATTCATTGTAAACCATAGACCAAGATCAGGTGCATGTAACTGAGCATGTTTAGCATTTTCTAATGCAAGAAATACATTAGTTACCGGAAAATTATAATGTTCAAGTATATAACCAACAAAATCAAGTGTATATAATGCTATACTATGTATATATCGTAGACCAAATAATGAACTCAATTGTGTAAATATATCAAAATGAGACTCTTGTGTTATATGTACGCAGGTATATCTAATAGCATAAGCCTTCAAACAGTAAAAAAAAAGAAGTTCTTCTTTGTATATTTATATGATAATAATATTTCTTACATAATGTTCTATTGTATGAATATCAATAGTTGGATCAATCATATGAAGTAAAGTATTTATATTGAAATCAGGTACAAGAATTGTTTTTTGATAACGAACAAAAACAATCGGTACTAGTTGTGGTGGATTATTATATTTTTGTCTATTCATAGTGTTTGTTTCTATATGTGCTTGAATAACTTTAACATATATATATGGTGAAGTAGATGGAGATGACATAGCAGAACTACTTATACTTGTAGTACGTGATTCAGCAATTGATTGTTGAAAATTTCTGATAAAGAAATAAGTAATTAGTTTTGAAATGATGTTTTTTTTAGTTACGTACTCTCCTAGTCTATTATATAGAGCAACAACCGGATGAATTGGTAAACCATTATCATTCGTATCATGTTCATCTAACTAAAAAAAACAATGAATATTATCAAAACTATGTTCTAATAAAATTGAATTAGTTGTTCGAAGGTAATAAATATTTTGCACAATATAGAGTTAATATATGATTCGGATTTAGTCTGTTTATACTAATCTAAATTATCTGTTTGTTATTTTCACTATATATATAGTTAAAATTAATTTCGATGTTGTTTCTGAATACAAATTTTGCAAAATGAAACTTTTACTACAATAGAAATATCAGCCTTTACCAGTGATTTATCTACTGGGTGGGCGCCGCCCACCCGAAATATTGATTCGCCCACTCGAAAATATACAGCAGCCATTCGTCTACTGGGTGGGCCGAGTGGGCGCCGCCCACCCGAAATTTCGATTCGCCCACTCGAAAATATACAGCAGCCATTCGTCTACTGGGTGGGCCAAGTGGGCACCGCCCACCGAAAATTTTGACTCGCCCACTCGGGAAACGAAACCTAGATAAAACACTGACCTTTACTATTCTCTAGTTTTTATATTATTTTATTTAAGACTACGGTTATTTCTGATAAGAAATCTATTCTACACTATTAAAAACTGTTTTGTATGAGATTTAACTCTTTCCCGAATATATGTTCGGATTTGTAGGATGAGATAAAATTGAACAATTATCATTGAGTTTTGCGTATACAAAGTAAAATAGTTTCAACATAATATTATATAATAAATACTATATGACAAGGTTTTTCACGCTATAGGTTAGATTAGAACAGAATTATATATTTCAACAGAAAATATGACAATTTTTTATCAGACTAATTTAATTAATACAAATGAGAATATTATATCTTACTTGAATACCATTTTGTCTGTCATTATCAATATTTGTTGTACTATTTAGAATAGATTTAGCCTTTTTTATATGTACCATATAATCATTAACATAAACATGTTGACCTGAATTCATAACAAATAAATTTGTTTGAAAACAACCATTGACAGTATATGATAATAATTCTATTTTTGATAGAACTTGATCAAGAACAGCTAAAAATTGATTTGTTGCATCCTCTGTCCATGTTAATTGATCATTATCATTATTTAATGGAATAATATGAGCTAAACGACAAGTTATAGAAAAAACTTGATGATGATGAAAATGATCAGTTATATGTCGAAGACGATTTATTGGTACATATTCTTCCCATGTACCAAAATCAACATAAAATAAATTCACTGTATTATCAGATGGATCAAAATCAAGTATTTGTGAACGATACCATATATTATCATTATCTGATAATTTCGGATCAGAACATATAACACATAAATTTATAAGAATTTGTTCTGGTCTTATATGATATTGTATATCATTTATTGTATTATAAAAATCATTAATTTCTTTTTGAAATTTATCAAATTCTATTGCATCTTCTTTAAGTTGAATTGTAAAACAATGTGGATTTAATACAGATATTATTACACATTCAAGTGTATGTTTAAGAAGATGATCAGGAATATAAAATTCATATGAAAATTTATTATACACAATTTTTTGTTTTTCATATTCCATATTTCTTATTGGTATCTTCTTTTCTATATTTTGACAAAAAAGGATTTGTTCTGTTGCACATGTATTCGATTTTAAACAAGGTTTTGTTTGAATAGGTACTGTTCGTGATTTATGATGAACTAGAAAAAAAGTAAATATGGATAAAATATAAAAGATACAGTTGATTGAGATTTCTACGTAGGAAGGATACTGCGCAAGGGGGAAACGGCGGATTCCCGGGATTCCGAATCCCAAGGGAATCCAATGGGAATCCTGGGAATCTTGGAAATCCTGGGAATCCAATGGGAATCCTGGGAATCCCGGGAATTTCATGGGAATCCTAGGAATTCAGGGAATCCTGTGCCTAAGAGTCATCAATAGATAAAGTAATCATCAAAAATAAACAGGCCAAACATACTAGTGATGACAATGATGACGAAGAAGTTGACTCAGAACTTGGAGAATTAGAACAAGACTCTCAAAATCAAGAGGGAAACGGCGGATTCCCGGGAATCCCGTGGGAATCCGGAATCCGCCGTTTCCCCCTTGATACTGCGTCTATATAGATGTAGTTATTCTCTTCATCCATACTCTGACATACAACATCACTCACATTCTTATATTTAATCAATTCAATTATGTTAATTAACATGTAAAGGAAATATTAACTGAACATAAACAGAAGAAAAATCATTTGACTATCATACTCATTTAAAATTTTTACTATTTGTTAAGCACGACATCTGAAGAGATAAGTAAAAATGATATGAATATTATTTATCAAAAAAAAATTCTTCAGATAGAAGTGTTTCATAGTAGTTTCACTTCATGACAAATTAAGATCTCATTAGATAACTAAGGTAATTGACAGTACAAATATATTGATTATTAGTGATCATATCTATAATACTGCATTGAACAGTTTTTTCAAAACTATCGAATCGATTGTGTTTTTCATTTACTTTTCACATTCTAGCAAAGCATTGTTTGTTTAATTAATTTTTCCTATGTAAGACTGATGATTTTAAGCTACGACGGAAAAGCTTTATGATATCTGAAAAAATATTTACAGTAAAATCTTACATAATGGACACATCGTGGTCTAACAGAATAATTTTTTACTCGATATGAACCTTTGAGATACGTTTAATGATGGATACTTTTGAAAAGTCTTCTATTTGTAATAATATTTACTCGAATTGTCATTAGTCGATGAAATGTTTGTATTGAACGAAACATGAGACGAAAGATTAGCAAGTCGTGTGGAAAATGGTTTCCCTTTTTTTTAAAAAAAATATAATTTCATTAAATAATATCGATTATTAATGTCAATTTTCTTACTTTTAATAAAATTTTGTTGATTATTTTGTTTAATAAAATCATTATTAACATTATCAGTTAACATTTTACAAGTAATAGTATAATTATTATATGATTGTAGTGAATTATCATTCACATAAAGAATACGTATTAATTTTGATCGTTGAACAAATTCTTGAGCATCTTGAGATTTTTTAAATATAATATGAATTATACCATTAAATCTATTTGATAATGAAAACATTTTTATTTCTTTAACCGGATAAAAACGATTGAAAAATTCTATTAATTCTTCATGTCTAGCATCATATGGTAAACCTGTAACAATAACAGTTCGATTATCTTGAATACTATCACCTGTTAATGGTTGACATCGACGACGTATACATCGAGGTGTAAATGAACTCAATTCGATTATATTTGAATGTTTAGAGTTTAAAGCTTGCAATATTGTATCATAGTTATAACTTGATAATTTATTGCAACGACTTAACAATTCAAGTCGTATCCATCCATCATTTTCATGTACGCAATTCGCTATGATATAATCATTGTTTAAATTATCATCAGTTATATATGCTTCAACTAGAAATAAGAATAAAAAAGAAAACAATTGATTTAATATTTATTACATAATATTAGAATATTTAAATAGATCTACAATTTTAAGAAGATTTAATATAAAATATTTCTATGATAAAACAATACAGCTAATTATCTAATATTATATTCAATTGAAAAGGAAGAATGTACTTGATTTGCAATAAAAGATTTAGACTATGAGAAATTATTTTAATTTGCATACATTAATTACTATAATAGAAGAACCTATTGTTAAATAGTAACTGTCTGAGGTATCTTCATTGTTTTTTGAATATAAGTGAATTTTCTTTTATATTGTTTAATATTAATAATCTTCAGAACATTCAATCAAGCTGTATTAAAACAAGAATATCAATATCTTTTTAAAGATTGGTTTATTTTGATAGAAAAAAAATCACAGTTGTTTAGTATAATATTCAATTCTATGACCTATAAATTCAACTTCATTTTTCATCTCTATAAGTATCACTACTAACTTTCAGTACCAAAAAGTACTGAATGTGCCAAATCTCTACTTTTCTTCTTGGTAATTACTTGATATCTTGATGAGATCTCATCTCAAATATTAAATTTCCAACAAACTACTTAGCATAAACAGAACACAAAGCTAGATCAGCTTCTTTTTTTTTTGCTTTTTCTTTCGGTCATGCCTCAATAGTAATATAAAAATGAATTGTATCTGTACTTAGTGATCGTTATTACGCTGTTCTTTTTCTTTTTGTTTTTCTTTTACTTGTTTATATAGTTGTTTGTTAATTCATTTGTAAATAATAAATTAAATAAAAGAAGAAAATTGACTTATTTCAAATAAAATTAAATATAGTTATTTTGTGAGAATAAATAGATCTATAGTTTAGAGAGTAGAAAACTTTATCAAAAAAAAACAAAGGACAGACATAAATTTTTTTAATTTATATAAACTTATAAAGCCTATTATTTCTTGTGTTTCTCCTTATAAATAATAATCTTTTTTCGAACTCATAAATAACAAAATTTTGAAGTAATTCAAAATCTCTTTTGAATATTGTTCTATATATTTAATAAGACACTCACTCTCTTGAACGATTTTGGCATAAAATAAATCCATGTCAGCTTTGTTGAAATGCCGCCTAGAAAAACAAAATATTCTTTTTTTATTATTAAATAATAATAAAAATATCTATCTATTAATTCATTATTTTTTAAAAGAAAATAGTTAGAGCTAAGCAAAAAAAACCACATATTCGTGCTTGATATTGTGGTACTGTGCAGGTTTACTCCAATTCCAAAATGTTTATAGAGTAGTATTTAGCAACTGATGCATGACTGAATAAAAATAAAAAACCTAACAACAGTGAGAATAGAAAATTGAATCTTGAATGCTTATTCCGTAATAAAAACACTGGTTTCTTACAATAAACATGTACAAAACAAAAAAATGTTGAAACTGCGAAGCAAAATAATAACATTTCGGTAACCAATTATATGAAAATCATAAGAGTAATATTACACAGAGGGAGACACTATATTGCATAAAATAATTATATAATTTATTATATTTTGAATTTTTGTTACTTTCAAAGAGAAAAGAATTGCATATGCATACGATTTTTTTGTTACATGTTTTAATTATTTGAACTTGAATTATACTACAAGAATATTTGCAGTGATTAGAAACGATTATGATTTCACTAATTAAAAATTTTGTTGATAGCCTTTAAAAAAAGTTCTGTCGTAATTCTTCACAGAATTCAATCAAACGAAAAGAAGATCTCGAATGGTTTTTGTAGAAAATATTGTCTATGAATTTAACTCAACAAAAGAGGATACTTTGTGTTTGAAATTGTTAATTAAAACATTTTAACTTAAGATAATAACATTAAAATTAGTTTTGTTATATCTTCATTTATTTATATAATTCGTAAAACAAAAAAAACTTTTTTTTAACCATTTACCGATAGAATAAGTCGTAATAGTATTTTGTCTTGCGCTTAATTTACTAGTATTACAAAGCAGCATTATGTAATACTACTATGCATGTCTATCATGGAGAAATAAAGAATTTTCAAGTAGAACTATTTGACAATCTATGAAAACTCTATATTCGAAATCTTTGAGATCAAAATCAAACCAAATAGAACTTTATAATATCTCGTGAAGTTCTAAAAGTATTATTGTTCGATGGAGCTGTTGCTACTAGGAATGTTCTGTTACTACACATCATATAGAATTTCGAAGTTCTTCATGAAACACCTGCACAATTCTATATATTTATCGTGTCTCTCAAAATAATTCCAACAGGTTTATTTTCAATCATTTTGTCCATTGCCATAAACTCTAATAAGAGTCTAACTAGTGATTTGCAAGGAGAATTTTATTTGTAACAAAAAGTTTTAAGGATGAAAACGATTGCTAATTCTCAAGAAGAGGGTCTCTAGAAAAAAACAAAGCCTAAGTTTTTCAGCTAATAGAATTCTATTTGAATTACTAGTATAATATAGCAAACAGTGTTTTACAAAATACAATGATTTCTAGCTCTCTACGACGTTTTTCACGCTGAGATGCATTGTGGAAGACACAAAAATTATGCTTCCATACGAAATAGTGAACAAACAACTTTTGCAACTTCCGTAGGATTGATTAGTATTGATGAGAAACTATCATAGACGGTTGATAGATTTGTCATTTTATTGAGAAATGTTTCCTCTAGCAGTCCACATCGTTCAACCAGCATTCTATGCGAAATTCCAGGAGCTAAAAATGAGGAAAGTTTGAAATTTAATAGACTTTTTTTTTGTCTTTTGTAAAGTCCTGACAATTCAAAGTCTGAGCAAAATTTGTTTGGCCATTTTCTTGTTATAGTTGTATAGATTTAGTTGAGTTAATTCTAAAGACGGTGCTTTTAAATTATTTGAACAGTGTTTTTGTAGTGAAATACAAGAAGAATTGGCTCCAAAAAAAAACAGAATAGATTATAAAAAGTGGAACACATCAAAAGCATTAAGTATTGGTAGGCTTGATGCTGATTCTCAAATTGAATCGATTGCAATAGGATAGACTATTAAAATAATGATCAGAATTGTGTTATTCTGTTGATTTCAAAATATGAACAAAACCCTATGAAAATAATGTGACAATGTTAATTTTAACATGTTCCTGTGCATTGATATCTTCTTCAATAGAGTAAGCAAAGAAAACTACTAATGGATCAATTTAATTTCTTATGCACTCTCTTCCATTGATTTTATCATACCTATGCATGTCATATTCCTCAAACAATTTCATTCGAGAAAATATTATTGTTGATAAATTCCTACCTATAATGATACATTGTTGCTTATTTTTAAGGACATATATTAACAAAAATTAATTATTGAGTTTTATTTTTAGCCAATGAAACCGAAATAATTCCTCTTGAATCACATACAAATATATCACATGTTCTATAATTAATATGTGTTGGTTCACCAAAAATCATATGCCAAGTATATTCAAGTGTTCTACCTGTCAATTGATCAGAATGTTGACTAGTCAAAATATAATCAATAATATTTGAATAAAATATTGTTGGATGAGCAAGAATAGCTTCTCTTTTGACAGCAAATGTTGCACAGCAATATGTATATGTTCCATTTACTGGTGAAGGACCAAGTTCTTTTTGTAAAACAGCTTGCCATAATTCATAATTAACTCTTTCTTGAAGATCGAATGAATTTTGTTTATATAAATTATAAGTTCGTATACTAGTTAATGGCATATAAGTATATTTATTCCATTGTAATGTTCTTAAAGCAATAACAATATCTGATGGATCTTTTTGATGCCAAGATGTTCGATGTGCTTGGACAAAAGCTATTGATGAGGGTAAATTTGAATAATGATCAACAATATATCGAAGATATACTATAGCTTCTCTGCCTTTATTTATTGCAATCCTATGGTAATGGGTTAATGGTTCAGCTGATCGTGTGTAAACAACATATGAAATTTGATCATCAACAAGTAAATCAAGCCAATCTAAGTTTTCATGAAAATGTGATACAACGACAGTTTTACTTAATTGAGATGTTGTGTTTGTTTGATTACTAGAATTTAGTCTTTTGTTAAAATTTTCAAACATAGATAAAATAAACTGAGTAGATTCAACTTGAGATTGACGAAAAGTAAAAGACAGGAATAATAAAATAAAAATAAAAAATAAGATCAAACGATGAAAACCAATAGATAAGATGTAGCCTATAAGATATTGAATTTTTAACAAGAAAAAAATTTTTTTATGGTAATATTTTTACCTTTTAATTTTTTTATATAATGAAATGTTCTATACATTGTATTTATTCTTTTTAGAATATTACAACGGTTTGAAAAAGAATAATGGTTTATAAAGATAAGAATTACATTGATGTAATATTTGTTTTTGTTTGACTCAACATGCTGAGATATAAAAATGATCATATTCTTACCTTTATTCTTTATATATCTTTTCGTTTTATAATACGTAAAAATAATTTTTCCTTCGTGAAAGTTGGAATTTTCGATTAATAACAAAGTTGAGAAGATAATGAGATTTCATATGAAGTGAGTATGTTTTTCAAAATTCATTTAAAAAATATGATTTGAATTTTAAAAAAATTTTCAACTTTTATAAAAAAAAAAGTAATTTATTTTAGAAAAAAAATTACAAAAATCAAGATTTTGTAGAAAAAAGTGAAAAAAAAAACTTTTGTAAAAAAAAGAACCTGGTAATACAATCCATGAAGAATTAAAATATGTAATTCAGCATTTTCGACAAAGTAACTTCTTTCATAAAAAATTGCACGGCGTGCAAATTTTCAAAAACAGGAGTGGAACGAGGCGTCGTGCTTTCATGAGTTACACTTCTGTCAACATCAGAATTATTTCATCAATCCTATATAGAGACTTTTCTAAACTGTACTTAATTGAAAAAAAAAGTATCTATCATATAACTTGATTCACTCTGCAAAGGACAATTAAATTTCATCACTACAGATAAGCTATTGTGAATTATCATGTTAATGAAAAAGTTGCTTTCAAATTGAATTTGATAAATTTTCAATCTTTTCAAAAAACTGAAACATTAGTGAATTGAAGAAAATCAAAAATCGTCCTAAAATATTATTTTTCAATTATTTCAAATAGTAAAGTATTCAGATTAATTTTAAGACATATTTCCATGTTTTTTTAAAAAACTATATTTACTTTTAAATTGCATATAAGGATTGAAAGTATTAAACGATTTCATATAAATAAGAAGCTAGGAAAATTGAGACAAGAGTCGTGCTATCAACTTATTAAATGACAAAAACAAGCCTTGTACTAATTGAAACTTGAAGAATTATTCATTGTTTCCAGCGGCGGATCTAGGATTTTTTTGATAAGGGGCGATTTTGACCAAAAATCGAGTTTTGAAGTTCATTAGTAGTAGTATGCACTCTATTTTTAAGTCTTTTCTGCTGGGAAAAATCGAAAATTTTTTTTCGAATGGGGGCGATCGCTCCAAGCGCCCCCCCCCCCTAAATCCGCCACTGATTGTTTCTACAAAAATTGTGCTAAGATTTGAAAAACACAAAATTTTTTTTTCTGTCGAGTTTTTTACTATTACTCAAGCAGATTGATATAAAAATTGATTGAATCAATAGGTGCACATAGTCAATTACGGTAAAACTTCTCTAATATGAATTGCATTGAGACCGACCAAATGTGTTCTGTTTATGAATGTGCTCATCGTTGTCTTCTTTCTAACAATTCTTTCAGTCAATTATTTTAATCAGAGGTTACAACATACTAACAAAGAAACTTTTCTTAACAGTAAACATGTAAAACGAAACTTAAAACGGCGATTTATTTTTTAGTCTGCTTTTTCTTCTTTAATATTATGTATTAAATTGAAGAGATTCATGAAAAATTATCTTTTCGATATTTACAGATATAATGATATAAATTGATGTTAAATTATTTAATTAAATTTTCAAAAAGAACGAAACATTTTGAAAACATTAGTAGATACGAATAAATAGATTATTTTGATATGTTTAATTCTGAAACGATGAATAAAACGAATGTTTAAGACAAAAATTGAAATATTCGTATGGATTCATTTCGTTTAGAAAACAGATTCAAGTTAATTTTGAAAACATTCATATTGAATGATTTAATATATAAATTGCAACTAACAAAACGAAAAGTCCTTATTGGTACTTGTTCGATGACTTTTATAGTAAAAAAACGAAATAACAAGAAAAAATTTTATTGTGTTTATCAGACATAGAAACTACTAAATACAATAATTTCAACGCCATAATAAACAATGTTCAGCATTCAGATACAAGAAAAATCCTTTTTTGCTGACTATTTTGATTTCGTATCAGTGACGTCATTTTGATTCATATAATAAAATAAGAACCAAAATATAACTACTACTTTGACGTAATATAGGTTAATATGACTAACATAATTGTTTTATGTCGTTCTTATCAAACGGCAAATCATCTGTGTATATTCTAAATATAGATAAAATGCATTCCAATCTCAATTTATACAATAAGTTTTCATGTGCACGAGTTATTGTTCGCAGATATACTATCCGTTGGTTATTCGGAAGAAAAGAAATAAGCAAATGAGTAATCATTATGATAATCAATGTTTTCTCACAACAAAATTTCATTAATTTACCAAGCGTCACATAATAGCAATTTACTATTAATTTTCTTGAAACTCTACATTCTCCAATAGAAAAATGCAATTTCACCACATACAATGATTTACATTGGGATTGTTTTATTGTAAAAAGAAAAATCATTAACATCGATTACAAGAATTGATATTGAATTGTTAAATTCATTCAGACAAATATAGAAAGATGCATACATTTTCTATTTTTCTTTTTTTGTTATTCGTTGAATTAATTGAAAAGTACGAATATATTAGCCCTCTAAGTATCTATGACTTACCGAAAAGAATATCAAGATTAATGTGAAGTTAGAAATATTTAACAAAAGTTGTCTTGCTTTCCGAAGGATACCAAGTTTCTCTAGTCACTTTCGATATTTATATAAGAAAGGATATCCTTTTGTTTGATAATTAAAACTAAATCTGTATATGTTCTTTGTTCATGAAGAATTACTCGAAAATATTTTCGATACAATCTCGTAATCTCTATCAATCGATTATCGCCCATTGTTATGCGACAGAGCATTGATTTTCTTTGGATTAGTACAAAGATCGAAATAAAGTTCTTTGGGGTTGAAAATACTCTCAAAATTTACCTATGCCAATAGAAATTTCTAATATTGAACAACATAAGTGTTGACTATATAAATCCTACTTTCAATATTTAAAGCTATTTCCGAAAATTTTCACATAAAATTATACTAGTGGACTCATCTTAAATTGCATAGAATAAAAAAATAAAATATTTACATGTCTGAAACTTTAAGAAATTCGTTTTTACAAAAAAAAGCTTTATGTTTTATCCGATTGAGTTTTTTAATATTACGCAATCATATTTGAGAATGACTACAACGAAGAAAGAAGAAAGTGATTACGTCACATATTTTCGTCATACAGAAATTTTTTCTTTCTTATATTGACACTCAATCATCATGAATCAAAGAAAAAAGAATTACCTTGACCTTATTTTTTTTTTTCATCATTTACAACTAAAACGATTTTGTTGTCATGACATCATTCTCTTCATCAAAAACTCATTGCACTTCAAATGATTGTAAGAGTGTAGGTATTTTGAAATGTGAAGGTTGTTCACATATATTTTGTCGAAAACATGTTAATGAACATCGAGATCTTCTTAATCATCAATTGGATGAAATTGTTCTGGACTATGATGCTCTACATCAAACGATTATAGAAGAGGAAAACAAAGAAAAAAATTATGATAATCTTCTAAAGCAAATTGACAAATGGGAACAAGAATCTATAATGAAAATTCAACAAACAGCAAATGAAGCACGACAACAAATTGAAATATTATTTACTTCACAAAAGGGTTAATACAAATAATTGAATGAAGTTTTATTATGTTGATATTGTTTTTATTTTTAGAAACGATATCGAAAGAATTGTATAATCTCGCTGAAGAATTACGAAATGCTCGAATAGATGATGATTTTGTTGAAACAGATCTTCATAAATGGACAACTATGTTAGAAAAACTTCAACATAATGTTAATAATTTTAGTCCCTTGATAACTATTAGTGAAGATTCAACAAAATTACTTGTAGCCAAACTATTCGTTTCTTCAACTAGACAACAAGATTTAGAAAACTATGAACAATTTGGAATATCCTTTGGTAATGTTTGTATTGCAGAGAATGGTTATCTGGCTTATCACAGTGGTCCTAGAAGAGAGAATGCATTTGTATGTGGAATGAAGGAATATTCATCAGGCAAATATAGTATTCGATTTGTTATGAATAAGAAAGATCCAGAATATATTATGTCATTTAATATTATCTCAAAATCTATATCTATACTCAACAAAAAATTTCATATAGTTAAATCAAGTTATGGGTGGTACACTGACGATGGCATTTGTTGTTACGATGTTGATATGCCTTCCTATAAACTTCGCCATGATATGGATGGTGAAACTACATTTGAAATCGAACTCTTGATTGATTGTGATAATCGAAAAATAAGTTATTTCAATGAACGAACAAAAAATAGACGAGAAATGAATGTTGATATTGCAATATGTCCATTTCCTTGGCAATTAGTTTTTAATCTATATGATGTTGAAGATTCTGTCCGACTTTTATCTTCAATAAAACTAATTTGAATATCAATCATGAGGTCAATATTCGTTTTGTTGAAAAAACTGTTCATGAAGATATATTTCATCACATTGGATCAAAAATACACATAATGATGTACAACTTGTAGCTGTAGTAATGAAAATAACTAATTTAAGGTAATTTTCAGAAGTGGTACCCGCTACTAAAGCCCATATTTGGTTTACAAGGAGATCTCAGGAAGACTAAAACAGCTTAACTGAGTTTCTATTTCTGAGCATTAGGGACTCAGACATTAGCATTTTACTGAATCATCAGTCCAACTATAGATATTTATCAGAAAGCCAAATACTAGAAGTTTGATCTGCAATTTCACCCATAGATAAGCCTGATAACTCTTGAAATATCATGAAAGTTTCAGCTAAAAAAAGAATATTCTTTCGTTAATTCTTTAAAGGAAAGGTATCAAGACATTCAAGAAGACTCATGTAGGCTCGGCGTATCTATTCTTTCTTTCTTATTAATTGTTTTGCAAGTAAGAAAGAGAAGCCATCCTTTTGAAATGCATCATTATTTTGTTGTCAAACGGTTCACGTCATTATCATCTTTCTCTCATTTACGTTCGATAAAAGTTTGTTCTTTATTTTTTGAAATATTATGCGTATTACTGAAGGACAATAAAAAACATGAATGATTCGTCAGATGATGATACAAACAAAACCAAGAATGTTAATAATTATTATAGAAAACAAACTATAACTAAAGCAGATGCAGATGAGAATGATCATAGTATTGCTCATCGTCAAAAAATGTCAATTGAACTATTCAATCGGATTCAACGGACAAATGTTAAAAAGAAATATGGTAAGCTGTTCCGGTTACTTTTACCTCCAGTGACAGAAGAGAATTTCAATTTGAGAAATGACAGATTATCTATGCACGAAGACAGTAATCTTGAAATGATATCCGAAGATTTAAAGAAAACGATACCTTGATTGAAAATTCGATATAAATTAGCACTACAATTATTGATGAGTATTTCTGTTATCATTTTGGATACTTATGTAACAAAGAGTATCATTATATTTGAGAATCAGAGCCAAGCTCTTCTATGTACTTTATTTACAAAGAATCAGGCTGAAATATTTTTAATTGAATTTCGTAACCTTTATAAATTCATTATTGTCCATTAATATATAACAAATCATTGATTTCCTGTGGCTTAGCAAAAAAGGTAGATATCGAGTTTTTTCGATTAAAAGTATTCTTAAAATTTATATATGTTAATAGAAGATTCCAAGTCTTAATATAGCACGAGTAATGCCTACATGGATCATATCAACGTTGTGTTAACAGTTCGTAAAAGTTTTCATACATAAATATTTTATTGACCTGTTCTTAAATTGTACTGAGTAAGAAAACGATCTTTCAATATTAGAACAAGAAAAATATTTATTTTTCACATTGAGAAATTCATTTCTGCACAAGTTCAATCAATTACCTGATTTATCTTGTTAAACATAGCATTGTTATTATTTGACACTGATCACAACAGAAAAAGAAGTTACATCACATGTTTTCGTTAGACAGAAAATTTTTCCATTCTTTCATTAACGATCGATCGTCATGTGTAACAAAAAAAAATTACATTTTTGTTCTTTTTTTTCGTTATTTACGGCTGAAACAAATTACATTTTTTATGGCGTCTTTATCCTCACAGAAAACTCCTTGCACTTCCGATGGTTGTAAAAGTGTGGGTATTTTGAAATGTGAAGGTTGTTCTCAAATATTTTGTCGAAAACATGTTAATGAACATCGAAATCTTCTTAACCATCAATTGGATGAAATTGTCCTTGAACATGATGCACTACAACAATTGTTTGTGGAAGAGAAAAGCAAAGAAAACTATTATGATCATCTTCTCAAACAAATCGACAAATGGGAACAAGAATCTATAATGAAAATTCAACAAACAGCAAATGAAGCACGACAACAAATTGAAATATTATTTAGTTTACAAAAAGGTCAGTACAAGTGATTGAATGAATTTTAATTTGTTGATATGATTTTTAATTTTAGCATTGGTATCAACAGAATTACATAATCAGGCAGAAGAATTGAGAAAAGCTCGAATAGATGATGATTTTGTTGAAACAGATCTTCATAAATGGATAAATATGTTAGAAAAAGTTCAACATAATGTTAATAATTTTATTCATTCGACGACTGTTAGCGAAGATTCAACAGAATTAGGGGTGGTACTTTATTTTTACTTTATAAAATAAAAGTAAATGAATCCTTTACTCTTAAAAAATAAAGTTAAATAAATAAAGGAAAACTTTATTATAGTTTACATGTCCTTATCAAAATTACTGAACATTACTGATTTGCATAGCATTAGTTTTATTTTCTCATATTCATCTATACGTTTTTTATTCGAAAGATGTTTCATTTCATGAAAGGGTCTTTCGAAATCATGTTACTTTAGCTAAGTTACTTCTGCTCTTTAATTCATATCACCGTAATGATCCGACTTGCGTCTTGTACTGTTACTGCAAGTGCAACATCACATTTTTTTTTGTCGCTGACACGGACGCGCTACAATTGAAGTTTATGATGAGTGTGTGAATGATTGTTAAAAACTGGTTTGTATTTGTTTCTTCCAGTGAACATCATCAAGTGCACGATCACATTTTTTTCCATCAGCTACATACTCACACCCCTTTCCAAATACATAGAAAGAGTCATGACACTATGGACGCTTCTCACGTTCACAACGCCAATATTTACAGCGAATTCCAACTCGTGATTTCCAAAAGTTAGATTTTTATCCTCAGTCGACTTAATGCGACAAGAATTAGATAGTGAAACTATGTGACTGACTAAATTTTTGGGATAGGGAGTGCTTAATTTAAATAGCTTCTTGGAAATCTCACAAATGTATACGTACTTGTCAGTTCACACAAGCAAGCAGACATGCCACGAAACATGCAAAACTTATCCCATTGCTTAGAATTCTTTCTGAAGTTAAGGGTATATGGAGTATATTCGGTTAGGTTTTAGATAATTAGAAGTGAAAATCAAAACTATGAAGGAATTCTATTTAGAAATATAAAGATTGAGTGATAATCGATCTGATGGAGACATTCTATGATTCTGAAATAATACATCAGAAAGATGTCTGAATACATAGAAAGCTTTAGATCACATTAGAATGTTACAAGAAGCTTTTCCTCTTTCTTAGTACCCTAAAAACTCAGAAATAAAGCTTGTTTATCTGTTATCTTTGAATTTCATCTTGTGAAATGTATTTCAAATTAAATTTACATTTTTAAATCGTAATAATCTTTCTGCAGATTTATTTCATGATTCTAGTGCTCTTCTAATTACATTTTCTGTTGTCGTAAAAAGTATCATTTATTCCTTTATTTTTCCTTTATTTTCTAAAAATAAATGATTCATTTATCTTTATCCTTTATTATAAAGGAAAGTAAAGATAAAGGGTCACCCCTAAACAGAATTACTTGTGGCGAAAATATTTGTTTCTTCAACTTTGCAGCAAAATTCAGAAAATGAAGAACGATTTGGAAAATCCCTTGGAAATATTTGTATTGCAGAGGATGGTCTTTTGGCTTATCATCTCAAACTCGACATAGGTGATGCATTTGTATGTGGAATGAAGGAATATTCATCGGGCAAATATGAAATTCGATTTCTTATGAATAAGAAGGATTCCAAATATACTATGTCGTTTAATATTATCTCAAAATCTACTTCCATACCCAAAAATGAATTCGATCAAGAAAAGTCAAGTTACGGTTGGTACAGTAACGATAACATTTGCTTATGCGGTGCCGATTTGTCATTGTATACAGTTCATCATGATATGAGTGGTGAAACTACATTTGAAATCGAACTCTTGATTGATTGTGATAATCGGAAAATAAGTTATTTCAATGAACGAACAAAAAATAGACGAGAATTAAATGTTGATATTACAAAATGTCCATTTCCTTGGCAATTACTTTTTTATTTATTCAATGTCGAAGATTCTGTTCGACTTTTGTCTTCAAAACAATTACTTTGAATATTAATCATGCAATAAATGTTCATTTTTAAAGAAAATGATTCCTTTTGCCATAATAGAATTTTTCTAGCATTACAGAGAACTCCCTGTGAATTCTATATAAGATGAAGAGTATTAGAATATAGATATGCATGTTTTGAGAACATCATATTAGATTGTTTTCTCGAAAGTATTGTTAAATTTTGACAAGTTTTTCATTGATTATGAATATATGATACTATGAAGAACGTAAGAACATGCATGCTACCATCTTGACTTCACGTAACAGAAACTCTCGGTAATAAGTTCACAAATGACAAATTTCGTTTCTTACTTATAGAATCTAACTGTATAAAAACTGATTCGCTAAAAGTGTTAATTAATCTTGATATTTGGACAGAATTTTTCATCTTTGTCTCTAACAACTTATTTTTTGGCCAATGTAGAATCTCTGATGACAGTCACATCCTTGTCCTACCCTCTCCGAAGATTTCCATGTCTCGACAAACGTCAATATGAAGTTCTTTTCATTATGCTCCAGCATGTTTTCTTAATTTCCAACAATACTCAAATACAAAATTGTTGTGTATTTCGAAAGGTTCGTTAGGGTGAACACATTGTAAATAAGTTCATTTATGACTGACCTTGCAGAAGCTCCCAATAGTTTTTATCAATACATCAAGTTCTGGATAGTTCAGTGACTGTTTGTTCCCTCAGTTCAATACTAATTCTCCTTGAGTAAAACTTAATTTTTCTTTAACATAACAACCGATTTCTACTGAGCCAGAAAGATATCAGGGGCATCTTCAAATTCGCTTTCCTGGAAACTCTTAGCAATATGAACAACACAATAATGTTATTATACACTATACTGTAGGATAGGGTAGAACAGGATTACCCTGCAGAACTCTGGACGTGACTAGACTCAAAAGATGTTCATGATGTTAAGTATTTCAATACATTCGTTTGATTGAGCACTTTCTTATTATTAACTAATATAGCATTTTATTTGTTTATTATAAGAAAAACGTTTTAATGAATTGATTTGTATTAAACTAAATTTTTATATTTCATTATCAATATTTCATTACTAGATTCATTCAAAAAAATGAGAGATACATGTATTTCTTTCCATTTTCGTTCTTTGGCATCCATTAGCACTAGAATTATTTATGATTTACACAAAGAAATAGCAAAATAAATGTAACGTTATTATTTCAAAATTAAAGCTAATGAGGGTAGGCAACCAACTGTGTAATTTAGCTCATTACTACAGAGATACTGTACTGTGGAGGTATTCTTTAAATGAATGCCGTGATTGGTCTTAGGAACACTAAAAACACTGATTTGTAAATTTTCACTTGAAAATTTACATAAAAATAGGCTTTAACGACAATGGATCTTTTAATTTATCTCTATCTAAAAGTAGGAAAATTAGCTCTGCTGGTTTATCTGATTGATGTAAAGCACTTTAGTATCATAGCTGAATCAGCAGATAGAAACAGCGATAAGATTTGAAATATTCACGAAAACCTATTCTCGTCAAAGCCTATTTCTATGACAAGTTTCAAGTCGAAACTGGAAAATCAGGTTTTTTTGTGTTTCTGAGTGGGACTATAGCATTCATGTAAAAAATACCTTACAAGTGGGGTATTTTTGTAGCAATAATCTAATGGATCGAATCCTCTTCAGGGTTTTCATAGCTTCTCATTATTTTTTTTGTAGCTTAATAAACACACTGAGATAGAATTTTTTCGTTTTAAGTATTCCTAAATTTTACATATGTTAATAGAAAGTTTCAATTCTTCATTGCACAAGTCATGTCTAAATAAATCTGACTAACGTTGTACTGATAAACAAAGGAGTCAACTACCCTTATATCGTAATAAATAAAACAAACGATTTTTTAATATAAGAAGAAAAAAACATGTTCACATTGTGAAATTCACTCCGAAAAAAGTGCTATCATTCATTTGACTTCTCGTTGTAAACGTAACATTGTTATTATTTGAGACTGACGGCAATAAACGAAAATACAATAAGAAATAACATCACATATTTTGGTCAAACAGAAATTTCTCCTTTCTTTTATTGACATTCAAGCGTCACGTTTCGCAGAAAAAAACAAAAAAAACCTGTGTCCTTTTTTCTCATCATTTACAAATAAAACGAATTAGTTTTCATGACGTCGTCGTCGTCGTCGAGAACCCCTTGCACGTCCGATGGTTGTAAAACTGTGGGTATTTTGAAATGTGAAGGTTGTTCTCAAATTTTTTGTCGAAAACATGTTAATGAACATCGAGATCTTCTTAGTCATCAATTGGATGAAATTGTTTTTGAACATGATACTCTACAACAAATGATTCTAGAAGAGAAAAATAAAGAAAAAAATTATCATCCACAACTCAAACAAATTGACAAATGGGAGCGAGACTCTATCAAGAAAATCCAACAAACAGCAAATGAAGCACGACAACAAATCGAAACATTAATTGGTTCACAAAAAGGTTAAAACAATTGACTTAATGAGTATTTATTTATTTATATTTTTCTTAATTTTAGAAATAGTATCAAAAGAACTGTACAATCTCGCTGAAGAATTGAAAAAAGCTCGAATAGATGATGATTTTGTTGAAACTGATCTTCGTAAATGGACAAGCATGTTAAAAAAAATTCAACATGATGTTGCTGATGTTTGTCCTTCGACCACTATTAGTGAAGATCCAACAAAACCACTTGTGGCTAAAATATTTGTTTCTTCCACTAGACAACTACATTTAGAACAAGATGAACGATTTGGAATATCCTTTGATAATGTTTGTATTGCAGAGAATGGTTATCTGGCTTATCACGATGGATCTACAAGAGATTGTGCATTTGTATGTGGAATGAAAGAATATTCATTGGGCAAATATAGCATTCGATTTGTTATGAATAAGAAAGATCCGGAATATGTTATGTCGTTTAATATTATTTCACAAACTACGGGCATAGCTACAAAAAAATTCAGTTTAGATGAATCAAGTTACGGTTGGTACAGCGACGATGGTATTTGTTGTTGCAATACTAAATTATCATTTAGTAAAGGTTTTCATGATATGAAAGATGAAACTACATTTGAAATCGAACTCTTGATTGATTGTGATAATCGGAAAATAAGTTATTTGAATGAACGAACAAGAAATAGACGAGAAATGAATGTTGATTTAATAAAATGTCCATTTCCTTGGCAATTACTTTTTTATTTATACGATGTCGAAGATTCTGTTCGACTTTTATCTTCAAAAAAGTTACTTTAAATATGAGTTACGAAATACATACATATTTATACAGAAACAAACTGTTTTTGCAGGAAGAATAAGAGCTATTCATCTAAGACGAAGAAATTGCACGAACTGATATCCGCCATTTGAGCTCATATGGCGTTAACAAGGCACCTAGGTAAGACTAGAAAACTTGTATCAGAGTTCGTGTCCATGTGCGTCAAGAGTCGGTTTATCGCTATTTTAATGAATTTTCAATCCAGCTTTAGATATTTACGGAAAAATCAAGTAAAGAAGTTTCGATCGGAAATTTCATCCATAGATAAGTCTGATAATTCTAGGAATATCTTGAACGTTTCAGTCGAAAAGTATGTTTCTTCGTCGAGATATTGAATTTCCAAAAACTAGTAACTTCTAGCAGATATGCCATCAAAATCGAGTTTTGTTGAGAATTCAATATCGTTTTTCGTTAAATACCTAGAGCTGAATGGAAAATTCAGTAAAACGGATGTGGGTGTGCATTGTTTACCACCTACTCACACCTAACTTCAAGGGAAACTGCTTCAAAATTTTTCATGTGATATTGGACAATATTAGTGCTTCATTTTGGCTGACTTTACATACAAAATACATAGTTTCTTCAGATTACATGGTTGCTTTGAAAAATTCAAGAAATATGGTTACCGTTACTTGAAGGACTCTTCCATGTGTCAGTCATAATGACGATAGGAAAACTAAACCATGTACAAAGTTCGATTTTTAAATAGACTATATATTTTAAAATTTACTTTAATAAGGCATAAATTTTTTTAAAGTTGCATTATTTAGACAATTAGAACATAATTTAAGAGCTATTGACTATTGAGAACTTTTGACAGTCGATGACAAGCAGTTCAGAAGCAAGTTTGAAATTTTCAGATGCGAAATTTCAAGTTCAGACTGCGTTTAGGTTGTAAATCAGTGGGTAACTTCTTTTGATTATCATCAATACATTCAGTATGTTGTTAGACCACTCATTACATATTATAAAGTATTAGGTCAAAACTGAAAGTCAAAATTTCGATGTCAACTAAATATTTAAACAAAACTAAACTCATTAAATGACACGGAAAGTAATAAAATTTCAATATCAATGAAAAGATCTTGTTTTAATGTTCGAAGGTTTGTTTGTAATCGTAAATATTCGATATTTGATGAATGAGATTTATCAAAACTTCAAATAATGACAAAGATTAATTTTTTTTGTGAATGAATTATCACGAAACATTATTTTATTTTTTCAATAAAATAATTTTATTAATAAAAGGAAATCATTTTTTTTTACTTAATAATACTTGTAGTAAGCATTAATTGAAATATTTCTTTTTTTGTTGATCTATGAAAAGTTTTTCATTAAAAATTCAAAAACAGAGTATTATGCTTGACGCATTCAAAAAAAACTCATTAAGGAAAAATTTTTTGTTGACATGTTTGTCAATATAGAAAACTTCAAACTTCTCTTGACAGAGTTTTACGTTCATTATTAACCACATTTGACTGAGTTAGTGACTAGAGGCATTGTGAACGTCATATTGCACTTGTTTCCTTAAGAATAATTAAAACATCCTTTTTTTTCATATTATACGTCTCACCAACTGAAATTGTTATTTTCTTTTTTTTGTGAACTGAAGGAACTAAGGAAGTCGTTCATTATATATTAATTGTTTATGATAAATGAAGACAACATTTATCATGTACCTTGTTTATTTATATGTCCTCGAAAAAGTATAAATAGAACTTTATATCTCTATATATATATAATCGACTCAAAACCTTCGTAGACAATGCAAAATGTCTTCAACAGTTTTCTTTCATATTCCTTATCATAATAATTTTCTAATATACAACAGTACTTTTTGACATTCTTTTGACTGACACGCAGTTTTTCTTTATACACTTCTTTGATATAATAAGAAAGTTATTCAACCTAATATGAGACATTGTGTATGATTAATGTGTACATGCCATAAATATTGTGATGACAATATTTACTTCATTCTTTTTTATTGCTTCAAAAATAGTTCGTTTAATTATATTTTTTACTTAAATCAATAAATTTATAAAATTTAACTCAATTACTACGATAAATAATTCTATCATAATTTATACAAATCGACTGGAAATTGTCATTCTCAGAGTTCTAATATCGACAAACGTCATTGAAGAAATAGGAAAAAAAGCGGAAGTAGGGGAATATTTCTGTCCGACGGAGCAGAATAGAAAAGATCATAAGAAAGGCAAAAGAAAAAAAAGGAGTAAAACTAAGAATAAGTTCTACTCATCCATGGTGTCTGAAGTGCTGATTCACCAATGTATTCATAGGAAATATATATCTTTTCTTCTTTTTGCGTAGAATTTTTTACTGTGTAATGTAATAGTGCAAGGATAAAAAACAACCTACAAAAGAAATGAAAGTGAGTTTTGCATTGTTATAGATCAAATGGTAATTTCTTGTATGTTTTATTTATCTATCATTTATCTTTTCTCATATCTAATTGTATTAACATCTGGAAACGAAAATAAAACATTACATGTATTTACAGCTAATATTAAATATGGGAACAATGATAAATTTATTTTATATTATAATTTAACAACAAATTATTCATATTATCTTACATTTCGTTTATTTGAACATCAACAAATAAAATTTGGTTTATATGCACCAACATATCAATATCAACAAAATTCAATTGAAATTTTTAATCAATATAATAATACATCAAGAGAATTATATTATTTATTTATTATTTGTTTTTATTTTATTCATCCATTAAATGATATTGATATAGAATGTAAAGATATACGTTTATTAAAAAATAAAGAATCAAACTCTCATCATGAATATCATCCATCATATAAACCATTATTTGTAATATTAATGTATGCATTAAGTATATTAATGCTTTTGCCTGTTATTATTCAACATCGTCGTCGTAAAATTGCATTATTAATTGAAAGACGAAAACAATTAAAACGTTTATCTATGAGTATAAGTCCAGATAATCCAAATATTTTATCACAAATTGTAGAAAATGGAAAGATAGATTTAACAAAATTACCATTACAAATTGAACGTATTTCATTACCATCAACAAAAACATTTATTGATGATATGGATGATAATGATAATCTTACATTTACAGTACAAAACCGTGAATCATCTATTCCTAGATGTGATGATGAATCTGATGTTACAGTTGATGTTTGTATTGCTCATCTATTAAATCAAACACCATGGAATTCATCTTTAACTCAACAACCATGTAAAAGTATTCTACGAAAAAGAAATTCTTCAGAAATAATTGAAGAGCAACGCATTCCAATGATAACATCAACGCATGCTAATGATGATCAACAAACTATCTTAAAACCAAATGTACTCTGCGCTAAAAATTCCTTTAATGTAAATCCAATTTTAAATCAGTCGGGTGTATAGAATCAATAATAAATTATATTAGAATATTTTTTTTTCCATTTAACGACTTTTATTGTTGATCTTCTCCTTCTTCTTCTTTTTGTTTTTGCTAATATTATAATGAAACATGACAATGACAATAATTAAATTCCTAGATTTATATATTCTAATTATAAAAAAGCATTTATCTATGTTTTTATTTATAGTATTGTTATGATTATTATTAGACAACGTTGAATATTGTGTTTTTGTTTATCTGTCAACATACATCAACTAACAGCAGTCAATGTCATACTCAATTATATTATGCTTATTGGATATATCTGAACAGTAATGAGTTAATATGATTTTACTAATATTTGTAATCAAGATGAACTAATTATTATTTAGCTTTTCGGGTTATTTTTTATTTTCAATATTTCAAATTGAATTTTTTTTTTTTGGGAAAAAAGAAATTACTTCCGTTTGCATGTCTATTTTTAATCATCAATGTGTAGTTCACAACGAATGGGTCAAAAAGTTTCCTTTTTCTTTTTGGGTACCTGTCAAAGCATTGGAATCTATCAAATAAGTTTTCCTGTTGTCAAGAAATCGAACAGAGTGACAATTACATAATCATTCAGCTACAAGTGTCATAAAATCAGAATATTGATTAAATTTATTTTCAAAAAAAACACTGTGTAAGAAGAATTTTTCAACGAAACATGAGAAAATAATGGGAACGATCCATTTCTATCAGGTCTATTAATTCGGAGCAATCTAAAGATTTTCGTTGTTCGATTTAAGTTTTAAATTTTATATCCGATGGTATATTAATAAATCGTTCGTACATAACTGATGATTTGTAAAAAACATAAATTTCAGAAGTACGTTCAAAATAAAACATCATCAGGTATTAGTTTCAATTCTTTCGTACCTGAATAACACGATCAAGAGCCTAGAGAAGATCTTAGCAGTATGTAACAGAGAATTCTATTTCTATTGATGCTAAATATTTTTGCATTTAACTTCGAACTTGGTAAGCACAGACTTATACGAAATGATTGATCTCCAAAGAAAATTATCGACAATCACAGTTGAACATCTAGCAGTATTTTTTTAATTTGTCACTCAGAGAAAAAATTTTATTTGAAAAACAAAATCAACAATTTCAATCGTTTATTATATGGCACTAGTTATTAATAGAATGGTAGGTTATAATAATTAACATCTAATCTTCAAACGGAAAAACATTTTGTAAGTATGAATGAAAAAATCAAATTATTAGATCTATTCATTTCTGTCAAAAGAAATTATAGAGGAAGTATTTTTCAAGACATTAACTTCTTTTGTAATAAATTAAAACGCTTGATAATTGAAATTTTTAAGAACTATTATTTATCAAATAGAAATTCAAACTTTAGAAATAATTGAATTCAACTTCAATGAACTATTTTTGATCGATTGATGTAGTGTAACATTTGCACGATAAAACAAAAATAATGTGAATTTTTAATTAAAATAATAGCGCTATGGAAGGAGACTTTGTTATATTAAGATAAAACTATATTGATTTTCTTTCCAATTTCAGATGTATTGTATAGGCATTAGTAAATTTAGATTTAAAAATTTTGTTAATAAAACTTGAGTGAATAAAAAAAAATTTTATTTTATTAATGCCTCTTCTACAAATGCTGTGATTACTTACAATAGCATCATATTTTAATCATAGGCTATACATTATAGATCATAGATGTCAAGATATATTGTCAAAATCCTTAGAGTACAATAAAATTAATCTTATTGTATTTCATATTATAGTATTGCAGAACTTCCGCTAAAAGCTTTTTATTTTTATAATTTTTTCCGGAAATGTCGAGTAAGTGTCATTTTTTGAATTTTCTTTCATAGTTATATTCTTATATTAAAATGAATTGAAAATTCAATAAAAATTTTATCGATGGCGACAGAAGAATATAATGTAAATAGAAGTATATTGTCACATAACCATGTACTTGACAAATGGGTGAAATATAGGCGATCGGAAAAATAACTGCAAGATATTCGTCACATGGAGAAAACGTTGCAGTACGGTTGGTGTCACATTATGTGCTATACTCTCACTACATTAGAAAATCAATAGATGATAGTTCAATACTTATACAATTAACTATTTTCTAACGAGGGAACATTCCCAAGTGTCCCATCGTTTTTGAGTTCGGACTCTATGCATAAGGTAGATCCCAGTGACGTATGAAAAATCCCAGAAGAATAAGTGCCCTTAGGCCTTCTGTCTAGAGTTATAGGCATTTTACCGAAATTTTAGCCTTTGGCATGGTAAATACCGACAAATCAAATGATGGTATTTCGACCTAAGATTTTGCCCACAAATAGATCTATTTGTGAGTAGAATATGCTGAAAATTTCAGCTCAAAAGAATGTTTTATTCCTGAGATATTAAAGTCCCAAAAATCAATAATATCCCACGAAAGATGCTAGAATTTACTGTTTTTTTGGGACTTTAATATCTCAGAAATAAAACATTCTTTTGAGCTGAAATTTTCAGGATATTCTACTCACAAATAGATCTATCTGTGGACAAAATCTCAGGTCGAAATACAGTCATTCGATTTATCGGTATATACCATGCCAAAGGCTAAAATTTCGGTAAAATGCCTATAACTCTAGACAGAAGGCCTAAGGGCACTTATTCTTCTGGGGTTTTTCATACATCACTGTGATCTACCTTATGCATAGAGTCCGAACTCAAAAACGATGGGACACTTGGGAATGTTCCCTCGTAAGTAGCAATCTAATGTCGGTATATTGTCAGTAATGCGAACAAATGTGCAATATGGAATTCAAATAATAGACGATGTTTAATTTTTATTTTTTGATATATTATTTTGTATTTTTTGTATTTATTTTTGTACAAGAATAATAAAATAAAAACAATTGTACTCTATACAAATGTTTGCAGAAATAATTATCAAAGCATAACATTGGTTTTCATGTTATTTAAATACACGTTTGATTATTTCGACAAGTTTTCAATAAGTTGTTTTCTTTTTCAGTTATTCAACTGATATAGAACATAATCGACTTCTTTTTGAAGCTATCGTTTACTAGAAAATGATTAATTTATTTACATTACATTTTACAAAGTCATTTTCTGATATATCGGCAATATATATCTTGCAGTGTTTTATCTATGCGACGAAAAGTTCTAACAATGTAATAAAGGGTAATTGAAAAGTTATTAGACAAGATGTTTGTTTACTATTGACGTAAAAGAAGATCTTCAAAAAACAAACATTTTTTAAGGCATGTAGTAAGTCTTATATCTTTTCATATTGAATCCTATTTAACAACCTCAATGAGAGTTAACAAGAATCATAATGATTTTTTAGATCCGTAGTGAAATTTCAGCTGATCATTCTACATCTTTTAATTTTTCATTTATTATTATTATTATTATAACGAGTTTATTTGTATATTGATATTACATTCAATAAAAAGAGAATAATTTGTAAATAGATAATATAAAAAAAACAAGACCACTGTCATACAAATATATACACCTGACTAATATCTTCAATATAAATAAAACAAACAAAAAAAAAATAAATAAGTAAATATCACACAGTAAAGAAGTTGCAAAATTTTTATTATTTTTTATTTTTTTTTGAATATATAAATGTTCATTTAATCTTCAGTATCGGTTGTTTTTCTTGGATTACAACAAATAAAACAACGATGAAAATGAAAACATTCTTTTTTATTCGTTGAATTGAATAATAAAAATTCTGAACGTTTAAATTTACTTTTCTTTTTTGTGTGATCAATTTGTTGATTATTAGCATTACGTAATTTTTCACTTAATTTATGATCAATTGTTGGTGGAACATGATAATTAAAAGCAAAATTATTTAATATTGGTAAATGAGATTCCAGCTAAAAAAATATGTTTTTTTTTTATTCTTGTTCTTAATTATTTTTAATATAGAAAATAAAGAAATTAAAAAAAAATACATACTAATTTTGGATGATGTTGACGAACAAGATCAGAAGCAATTTGTTCAAAAAAATCTTGAATATTTTCACCTGTTTTACAACTTGTTTCAAAATATGTCATACTATTTCGTAGTGCAAACTAAAAGATTATTAAAATTTTCTTTGTAAATCTTTAGCAAAAAAACATTATTACTCGTTGACCTAATTCTTCATCAACTTTTCGATCTTCAATTAAATCAATTTTATTAGCTACTAAATATCGACGTTCGATATCTAATCCAGTCTAGAATTATAACAAATTTAATTAAATTTTTTTTTTTTAATTGATAAATTATCTTTAGACAAACTTGTTCAATTAATTGACTAAAATGTTCAATTAAACGAAATGATTCCATATTTGTAACATCATAAACAAGAACAAAGGCTTTTGTTGATGCATAATAACCTCGGCCAATTGTTCGAAAATTTCTTTGACCTGCTGTATCCCTAAATATACAAAAATACATAACTTACATTTAGATCACGATTTCAGTAAAAAACAAGCAAAAAGTTGACTACACACATGATTATTAGAGATTAAAGATATTAAAGAGCAGCCGCTCAGAAATGAATCATGCTTGCCGTTAGACACTGTGGCTCGTCTACGCTATGTCGCTGTACAACAAAATGTTTTCAAGTATGTCATTTCAGAGATTCGATTTTAAACAGAATAAATATTTACTATAATAGATAGTTGACATGTGATAGATTTTACGAGTTCTCAACCACATAAAAGACTACTGTTTACGATCGTAAATACTCGAATGTATGTAATAGAGAGATCTCTTTAGGAAAATGAACATGTGTATTATGATTAGTTCTACTTTAGATTTAGTTATAGTAATTTCACACTGAATTACGTGTTATATCAATCAGGTAGGAAACTGAAGTATTAAAGATGAAAACCAAATTATAATCTCAATTCGTTGTAACGTAACCAAGATTTTGACATAGAGATATGTTCAGACAACCGACTTTTGTCTAGTGAAAAAGTTTAACTGATATGACTTCGATTTATAGGTTTGTCATGATCGAATCTTAATCCCTTTTATCAATACATCATGCAAGTAACCATAGCACTGTCTTCATTGAAATGATTTATTTTTCACGTTCGTTTATAATGAACGTATACTTGATAACCTATGTTATGCACATTTCGACAAGATATCGTAAGAGAATTATTAAATCTTTGAACGGTTATTTATTGCTTGAGTAATCGTTGTAAATGGTAAGAACTTTACCTTTCTAACCGATTTGTCTTACATACAAGTGTAATCGATCGTACCATAAGTTAGTTATCAAATTACGGTTCATCGCGATTATCAATATGAAAGATATCATAATTCATCTTTTGTTTATGTTTTTCACTTATTTATTCTTTCTTAAAAAGATGCTAACCCTAGTATTCTATATATCATCCCAGTATATACACTTATATGATTAAGTAGTTGTTCCTTTAGAATCAATAAGGTCAAAGAGTGAAACATAGTAAATAAATTTATAATGATCTATTTGATCTTTTATTACCATAACACTCAATGTTATCATCTTTTAATATTTCTTTTTCTATAATAAAGTCTGAAAAATATAATATCATCTTACCATATTTGTAAATTAATTTTAGATTGTTCAATAGGAATAATTTTATTAACAAAATCTACACCTACGACAAAAAAAAGATTTCTATGAAATTTTTATTAAATAAAAAGAAAAATCACATATATTTACCAATAGTAGCACCAATATCTGTCCGAAAATCTTTACCAGCAATAAAACGTTGTAATGATGTCTTGCCTACAAGTGTATCACCAAGTAGTAGTACTTTATACTTGACATCAAATAAATTCTTATTATCTCCATTCGACATTGATCGTTGTTGATCAAGGTTAACACCGTTGTAAAAAGGTTGTCGTTTACTTTAAAAAAAAAAAACACAAACGAAAATAGATTAAATAGGATTTAACATTTTCATCAATTCGAAGTTATTCATTATGAAAAGAAAACAGAGTTTGTCAAGGTTTATTTATGTATTACTCATACGATATTGTTACAAAATACTAAAAGAAAAAAAAATTATATATATATATCTATATTGTCTAATTCTCAAGCGCCTTTTTTTTCTTTATCTGACTCATCAATTATTTTATATTTCAAAAACCTATTCTTACATATAGAATATGATGATATAACATTATATTTGATTATTCTTGATGATACAATTAATAAATTATTATTTACAAAATGACTATTTTTTTTCCTTCATAACGTCATTAGAGAATAAACACTAGCATTATCATATCGTCTAGTGTTAGTTGAAGAAACAAAATAGATAAACATTATTTTCTTATCTTTTGTTTTGTGTTGAATATCTGTATATAATGTTCGATCATTGAGGGGGGGAATAACAAAAAAAAAAAACAATAATCATTCAGTAAAGTCTAGACTATGAGCTTGTACATACTTTATTTGACTTATTGGTGCCATTTAAATTTTATAAATTCGTTATGCTATTAGCAAAAACGGATCATATTTCTCCCGATGATGTGATCTTTCTTTCTTTTTTTGATGATACAAATTGGATCGAATGAAATGAGATTTGAATCTAAAATGTAATGTTACCTATCATATCCCATTCGTTTCATTCAATTACTTGTATGAATGGCTGATTCAAGGTGAATAAGAAAATGTCATTTTAGACAACACTTTTATCGACACACATACATATATACACATTTCTACACCTTGTTTGAGTTTTTACAGCTACGTTCTTTCTTTTTCTTTTTCTTTTTTTTTTATTCTCTTATCGTTCTTTAACTGTATGTAAGTAAGTATGTGTAGGTATTCGAAAGAGAAGAGCACGCGTGTATGTTATTCAGTCACTTGAAGTGCTGCATAGAATTCTCTTAGTGACGGATAACATTCCACCTTTCGCCTCCGCTTTCTTCGTCTCTCGTTTGCATACATACACCCATAACTTTGTCACATAATAGAAAAGAAACCATTACTTAGCTGTATTAATTACTATCTCGAGACGATAATATTCGATTGAAAAAAAAAACAAATATCAATGCACTCTGTTCGTATTTGATAACAATCCTTACGTCATTGTCTCTTCATTGCTTAATGTTTGACCATATTTAAATAGGTACTAACATAGTATATAATATATTGATTGACAGCGTTCTTGCTTTCTATTCCAATTAGTATTGTAAAGAATAAGGTTGTAATAGTAAGAACACTTCTTTTTTTATTCTCTGTTTTCGTTTCTAATGATAATGCGCTTATACGTTTGAAATAAGATCCAAAATCAAGAAAGAAAAAATAAATGAGTTCAAATGTTTGACCCATACACTTTTCCTTTTCTTATCTTGTATACCGACAAATCAATTATTTGTATGTAGGCAATCGAAGAAAGAAAAAAAAGTACACAAATATACACTCATATGTTCATCATAAGGAATCGATCAATATTTATATTGATACTACTTATATAGCCTCGAGAGACAAATTGTAAAATGAAAGAAAACAAATATGATAATGGATTCCTGATTAATAGTTTGTAGAAATATAGTTTATATATAAATAATTATATAATTGATTATGTAAAATATTCAATATATAGACAACAATTTATTTGTATCAAACTTGTAAACGAACATGACATGCGTATATTCATCATAAATAATATTTTACGGTTGTTTATTTTATTAACATAGAAATTATATAAAAACTTAATTATGAGGTGTCGAAGATTTTGCACAGACATTTCTTTGCTGATCAACAATTTCTATTCTCATTACGGATAGGAAGTTCAACTTTTTGAGTGCTGATGCTGTTCACATGTTTGTTTCTTCTGAATGATCTTTGAATTGATGCTACGCAATACAATATTGATCGTTGTGTTTTGCTAAAAAGAATATATTATAATCAATAATCAATGTAGAAATCTTTATGAATTATGATTTTTTAAAAATTTTTTTTGGCACAGACAAGAAACATGTTCTTTATCTAGCAAAAAGTTTATATTTATTGATTGATTTTCAACAGAAATTAACTTCATTATTATTATTTGTATCTAAATGTAAGTTTAGGAATGTGCAGTGTTGCTGTAAACACTGAGGTACTTGCATAAAGTTCAGTGACTACATCCACATTCGCATCCGTTGCAACATTGTGACACAAACTCTATCAAATGATGCCCGTTTGGTGGCAGTATGTTTCCATGTTTCAGTGAACACTGGTTCCAGCGTGCACTAACTTAAGTAAGTCGATGATCAGTAAATTGTAACTTCATATTCCTATCTGACGAGGACACATCTTCGAGTATGCGATCTCTTTTCGATCGAGATTATACTCAAATAAGAGACCATTGCAAGTGGCGTAGAAATTCGAGAGGATCTGGTTGTCTAAGACTTTCTTCTCAAGATGCCAGATTTTTATTGCAATTTTTGATAAAAGTTGTGGTCCCCGCCGGGACAAGTTGAAACTTTCAATAACACTAGTTCATTGTAAAAAATACACTGTCTTAAGGATTTAATATTCGAAGATGTCAGTATAAGAAAATGATTGACTTTTTTACAAGAAGATTATTCAGTATTCATATCTTAGAGTACGTGATTTAAAAATCAGTGAATTTTTCACAATCAAATAATGTCGTCGAAAGTTTCATTGTGAAAAGTTCTAAGTCGAAACTCCATATCCGATTTTCACCTTGATCTGAAGGGTCTCATAACTTTCTGCTAAAACTGCAGTAAATGTTCGATATCTCAAGAACAAATGCTTCGAGAACTGAATCTACTTAAACATTTACATTAGTCACTATGGTCTCTCATTTTCATTGTTTTTACCATAAGAAATAAATGTTAACTCAAGAAAAAAAAATAATTACCCTTAAATATGTGTTTCCAGTAAAGAAAACACTGTGCAATTATTTCCTTTTCTTTAATTTTTTCTACTATCAATTTTTTTAAATCAAAAGGAAAAATACAATTTTATACTTGAGTATTCATGAGTGAATCATGATCTTATTCAATACTTTCGTCTCATCACTTGAATAAAAATCGATTAGATGTCATTGATTATTGTTTTAGTAAATAATAATGGAAAATTTTGAAGATCAGAACCGTTTAATGGTTAGCTGTGTCTTCAAAGAATAACTTCAACTGGACAGTGACATATCTCAATTATTTGAAAACTTGTTTGGAAGTAGCTAGAACTAATGAATAAAGAAACATGAATGAAGTAATGGACTAGATCGTATCAAAAGCTATTTGACTTTCATTTCTTTTTTCATTGATAAATAATTTCATCTCACTCTAAGAGCTTCGCTATAAACAATCACTTGATCAAATTCACCGGAAAAAATTGTTTAACAAAATTTCTCCAATGTCATATGGAGAATATATTCGATTACTTCTCATCTATACTAAACATCAAGCAGCAAATGCTGATAGGGAATATATCCAAAGGAATTTCACATAAACAACAGTTTAGCTTGAAAACTCTTTATCAGAAAAGAACAAATAGAATGATTGCATATTTTATATAATAAAGAATAAACAACTTCATCACCAATCGATCCGATATGTTTTTCTGCAAGATGAAAATATTGCATTTCAAAAACTAAATTGATAAATACTTGTGCAATGAATCTAATTTTAAATTAATAATGAAAAATATTCTAAAAAGAAACATCAAATAATCTTTGACAAAAAACATAAAGAACAAATCAATTATGATCGATTTACTAACGGTGGTTCCACAGGCGACGCTATGACTACAGGAAAAACGTTTCTCGAGATACAAAGTCAAGCTAAAAGTAAAATATTCTATAGTTTTAAGCAAATTATCTGATAAGTCATATTCATCAGAACATAATTCAAAAGAGATGGCCAGAAAACTAGTAATCGTCGACGAAATAAACTCATATCACTGAGGGCAAAAACAAACTTGGTCCAACATATCTCTCTAAAGCTATGTCTTCTTATGGAAAATTACACAAAATTGTTGCAACTAGTGGCCGTGTAAGAAGCCTGAGAAGAGCTCAGTGTACTCTCTCCTAAATAAAATTCCTGACGCCGCTGCTATATCTTTCGCTAATTTAGAGATTGTTCAATGGAAAATGTCATCTATTCTGAATAATCTATCTAAATCAATCGCACTATAGTGGATTCCATCGGTATAGGAGACGACAGACAGCTGTCTTAAATAATAGAATGTCAATTGAAATCAAATTTAAACGCTCACAAATATAATTCCGAGTTATCGTTTGTAGTGTTGCGAAACTCCATTATTCGTCGATAGATGATAATAAGATGGAAATTGTTTTTGTTTTCCTTTTGCGTCTACAATGCATTTTCTTTTAATTATGTTTATTTTAATTCAGTTTATTATTATTGTTTGAATTGATTCAAAAATTTACTCAATATTTATCTTCGTCAATGGATTCGTGAAATATTAGCAAAATATTCAATCACTTATCAAAAGAAACTTGATTGTTTTTTTGATAATCATATTATTCGATAAATGACAAATGATAATTGATGAAAAATAAATTCTATTTGAAAAAGAATTGTTATCAAAGCTGCTTATTTTATCAAGAAAATTAAACTATTTTTATTCTTTTATCCATTTACTTGGATCTAAAAAATATAGTTATTCTAGAACGGTATTTTCTAAATGAATGCGATGGTTTCCATCAAGAATATTAGAGAAAAATCATTTTCGAATTTCAAATTTTAACTATGTACAGAGATAGACCTCAGGTAGACTCCCTTTCTGAATAGTAAAATCAATTCTTCTTCGACTTTTGGAGTAGCTTTGGAGTGTTTTCTTTCAAATGCTATATAAATGAGGGCTCTTCACTGTTAGTTAGTACTTATATTAAACTCAATTTTTAATGTTTCTAGAAGAAAAATTTGCACTGCAATTATTCTTTGTATACGCACTTCTCCGGATGATAATTTCTAAAGGTGCTGAGAGTGTGAGTCATGAGCTTTTAACGTCGCTGAACATTGGCAGTTTTCGATCACTTTAGTTAGAGGAAAACAAAATTCTGATGCATACAGGAAAATTTGTTTTTTCTTGTAACTTTTTTCTACAGACACTTAACAGTATTTGGAAAGGTGTGTCCAATATCTTGATCGTCATATTCGAATGAATGAAGGTAAAAAAGTAACTGAAAAACAGTAAGTAATCAAAGAGTATCTGGTATCTGTGAGAAATCTTTCCGTTCTATCGGACTTATTGTGACTGGAAAAAGGGGACGTTTTTTTAACCTTTTCGACCTAAATATTTCATAGAAGGAAGTCTTTGGCAATTTAGGACCTATGACAATTTTTGCTGTACACATCGAAATGTATCTATCCTGAAAGTTTTCAATATTTTTGATGAGCCTTTCTTCAAAAATCTCGGAAACACGATGATCTGCTAATGAAGAATAGCTTATTGTTATAGTTTCAGATCATTTGATTTGCTCCTAATAG